AAGAATCTTCTTAATAGGTAAATCTAAATTGTCCCCTGCTTAACACTTCTCAGTGATTTACTATTTATTGCATTTACTGCTAACTCCAAACTCCACTCCAGCCTAACGGAGCTCATCGTGATTTATTTTTCATTCCATTTATAGCCTCCACGTCTTCGTCTGTCACCACTATATATTAGGTCATTACCTTTTTCTTTCTAGAACACTCCAGATTTATTTCGATCTCAGGACCTTTGGGCATGTTGCTTTTATTCATTGTAATGCCTACCCCTGCCTCTCTGTTATCTGACAATCAAAAAAGAGACCCCTAATCACTATACCAAAGTTGTCGAACTCTTTTTTATCTTTATCTCAATAACTTGTTTATTCCTTTCATTATACTCATCAGAATTTAGAACTACTATATGATTATATGTTTTGTTGTTTGTTTGTTTGTTTGAATACCTCACAAGACTGTTAAGTCTAAAGTGGTCAAAGTCCACATCTGATTGTTTACCATTAGAACTCCTATTTTCAGAGCAATATCAGTCCTATAGTCAAGATGTAGTAAATATTTGTTAAATAAGTAAATGGACCTGAAGCCTATAAACTATGTCACTTTTTTGAAAGTGCTTCATTATAAGAGACATCTTTAAAAGACAAGTTTGAACAGAAAATCTGTTTTGTCCATGCTTAAAACAAATGAGTAAGTTCTTGGATTTTAGGGAAAACTTAAAAACCTGGCATTTCACATACTACCTTGAAATGTGGTGCAGTGGAAGTGACATTGAATGAAATTTGGTTCAACCACCTTTAAAATATATTTTTGGCATATTCTTTCTAAAGTTGCTTAATCTATCCTGTGATTTTTTTTTTAAATTTATAAAACAAGGTAATAATATCCAACTTAAAGAATTAGTATTCATTATTCATTCATTAAAAATATATGAGCATCTTATATATATAAGTAGTATGCTAGCACAGGGAATGTAGGATGAGCAAGATTTCTCCTTCACTGAGAATATATTATAACAGAGTATGAAATGAGATGATATATGTAATGCACCTTGTGCAATGTCTTTTGTAGAACTGAATTGAATTCTAGCTCATAAATAACTTATTAGATTATGCCTAACACTCTGAAGAACTTGTCCTTTGCAGTTATAACATCCAGCTTTCAAAAACGGTCTTATCATATGTGCATTTTCTAATATCCGACACTGAACTGGGACTCACCGATTGAGGTGAGAGCTCAGCTTCAGGCTTCATTAGCAGTACACTCTGGTCTACTGCACGAAGGGCACAGAGGGAGTGAGGGGTGGCTGTGACCTTCAGGTTGGTGTCTGAAGCTGGCAGGCTCTGGACTGAGGCGAAGCTCAGATTTACCTGTAAAGAGGATATGATTATAGCAGCAAATTTTTAAAAACTCGCTTCTATCCCAGGTTTGGACTAGTCCTATTTACACATCCTTTCTCTTTATTCATTTAGAACAGGATTGAGAGATGAAGCCACCTATGGACTACCAGTTAACCATCTCTGGAATGAACTGGAGGTGTGGTTCCAGTTAATTCACATTTCCCTGAGTTATATAACTGTTGAAATATAAATTGGTTTTGCTAACATTGAAATAGAATGACAACACATGTGTTAACAAAGATACATACCTCGTCATGTACCTCTCTCTATACAGTGTTTTTGAGATGAATGTGTGTATTTTGTATGGTGCTGTGAAATATCACACTTCACCTCTGAGACCACCCAACCAAAGTGTCTTCCAGTTGGCAGTCTTAGTTATCTGACATTCTAAAGCAGCATAGTACTGTTTATCAGAATCAGAGGTTTATTGGGTCTTAAAAAATTAAACATCTAATATGCATCCTAAAAGTTAATTGCTTGAGAAAATTCAAAGAACTGTGAATAAAGAATAAGAAGTACAAAATAATGGAAAATTGTATTTTTTTCTCCCAGAGATTTGATTCTGCTTTAGCCAGTAGCAATTCATAGTGAAGTGGATCTACTTGGTCCTTACGTTTGCATAAACATTTCTTGAGTAGAATATTTTATCTTATATTAAAAAAATAAAATAGAATAATTTAGAATTTAGTTCTAAATTATAAAAATAAAATAGAATAATTTAGAAGTTTACCTATGGTAGCATCAGGTAAATTCTAGAGTCTTGAAATGAAAGCTGATTTGGATTGGAATAAAATGTTGGTGTTTTTAGTGAAATGATATTCAACTTGGATTGCCGGATTTAACTGTGATATTCCTGTTATGCAGTCTACTGAGTTAATATAACAGGTTGGATTCATGTACCACGAGACGTATATGAAAAATAAATAATTAATTGATTTTTCCTGAAGATGCAGTCGTATTCATCTGTACAGTTCAATATGTCATAAAAACACTATTTATGGACAATTCTATTTTAAATAGGCTTGTTTTTAATTTTAGAAATTTAAGTAAATTAAAATATGTTTGTGAATGCCTATATCAAGTGACATATTTGGAATTATAATCAATTGAAAATACTATTAACCAAGAAGTGGGTATATTAGAAAACATTAAATGTTTTACTGACATGAGAACCTAAAAAGAATTTTAAAGCATATTTTGAGAGTTTATATTTATCTATATTAATGTTATTCTTAATGCATAATTACATTCAATTAAGAAGATAGACAATTTAAACTATTACATAGTATTTAATGTAGATACTAAATCTCTTATTTTTTAATTTTTTTATTAGTTTCAAGTATACAGTACAGTGGTTAGATATTTACGTAGTTTATAAAACAATCCCCCTAACTGTTCCTTCTTTCCTTTGGTTTTCTACCTAGCCAATATATTAATGCTAACTGCATTCTAAATCTGTTATTTTTAATGTAAGAAAGGGTTATATGAATTTTAAATAGAAAACGGTTTTTCTTTATCCCAACATAGATTGAAAAAGGTATTTAAAATATATTGGTTTGAAGGAACACACATCTCAAATTCACCTGGATCTTTCCTCACATTCTCATCTCACACTTTGTTTGCTCATGATTCTGTCAGAATGTTTAACTTCTAGGGGCTTTAACTTTTAACTTTAATAGATCTATTTCCTATTTTTTTGTGGTAGATAAAAAATAGCCATCTTTCTCCTAAGTACTGCATAAATCTTATTTTTTTCATAGCTTATCTCCACATCTGATCAATGACAACTTAAAAGATATTTAACATAAAGTGACTGAATATGTACATGAACTTTTGCTTCTATATGGGAAGTTTTATGGTTTTACACGAGTTTTCATGTTTTGCACCAGAGGGCGACCGCTGCTAAAATGAGTAAAATATGTTGAAAGCTGCAGCATAACATGGCCATTCTAAGGTTTAACGAACAACTAACTGTCCATGATTAGTAACAAGGGCACTGAAACTCAAAGTAGGAATTTTTTTCTAGGTTCGTATGAAACACACAGAATGTCCAAACTGAGCAGAACTATATTCTTGAAACTGTTCAGGTTTAATAACATTCTTTAGTAAGATGGAATTGAAAATTTATATCAGAAACTATTGTGTATTTTTCTTAGATCATCATATATTAAAAAATAGATAATCTAAATCTAATTTTCATTGAAGAAATATTCACTTGCTATAAATGCGTATTTTTAAATCTCCATAAAATCCATGTTAAAACATCATTTTAGGTATATTAAAAAAAAATACCTGAAGTTGGAGCCTCTCAATTAATGTTAAGACTACAGCACCAAATTCTGTTGAGATAAAGCTTATTTTTTTCTCAGTAGGCTTCTCATTACAGCTACATATCCTTTGGAGATATAAGAAGATCCTATTCGCAACTATGTAATATTTTTATGCTATAGTCCTTATTAGAGTGCTCAGGCTATGTTTCTCAAGATGAGGTAAATACATATACCATTGTTCTGTATTATCAAACTAAGTTTAAACTCACAATAAGTTACTGCTTTCTGAGGTAGTACATGGAGGTATGTCAGGGGGTATGATGGGATAAAATTGATACATCCTTACGAAGCATTATTTTTAACTGAAAAATTTGAGGACAAAACTAAAATTTAGTTTCAAAACAAACTATTAAAGGTTTATAACAAAATAGCTTCTGAATTTCACACAAGTTTTAAGATACAACAGGAGACTTTTAAAAAATTGTGTTTATAGCTTAATTCACTAGAGGTCTAGTGAAGTAGACTTCTCAGGGTATGGCATCACTCTCTGTTCTTAGAGGTTTTTTGGAGGAAAGTTTCAGGAGAACTACATAGCAATCTGTTAATGTACATAACTTTATTATTTTCCATACTTCAAAAAGGGAGATGGATAAAAGGACTAGGCTTAAACAAAACACCCACCTTATTGACAAAACAGTTTTCAATATTGAGTTTCTCAGTATCTGCGACAATTTCTCCATTAGGTAAAATAGTGTAAACAAACAACTGGGCAGTAGGAGCAATGTCTGATTCCACTCGAATGGAGAAGGAAAATACCCCTTTCACTGGAGAGTAAAGAAAGTTCAAGAAAATAGATTAGGAAGAAGGAAGAGTTCTCAACTTTATAAAGAAGAAGTTCTCAAATGATTTAAATTATTCACATTTGGCACATTTGGAGCATACTGAAATAAGAAAAGATGTGCTTATATACTGTTGTACTTGTGGTAGTGTTCAATAAATATATGCTGAATTAATGACATTTTTTTCTTAAAGAAGTAGGTTAAATTGTTCATTCAAAATATTCAAAAAACATTTAGTTCATGTATTAGTTTTTAAATTAAAAAAGATTTGTTAGGAAAGAAATCAAGAGAGAAGAACTTCTAGACATCTTTAATGATCTCTGTGATCCAAACAAGTGTAATTCTTGTCATATGCATGAGGACAATTTAAAGAATGCAATACAGTCTCTATCTTTAGACCACTTACAATAGAGCAGAGATACAGATACAAATAATCACACACAAGACAAACTGTGCCTCTGACTTTTATAAAATAATTCCATGTATTTCTCTTAGTGGTTGTTTTCTGTATGAATTGTTTAGTGCTTATATAATGTACCCACTTAATTTTCTAATAAATGTTCCAAGTTTGATTTTTGTAGCATAAAATCCTTTTAAAACTATAACCTTCCTGTGTTTATGAAAGAGATGAGGTTAGCTTGTGGTGAAAATATGCAAAAACAGTAAGATCGAAATAAATTTGAAACAATAGTATTGAAACTACATTAAAGTAGATTTCTGGAGTAGGGTTAAACATAGGCAAAAATTAATTTTATTAACAAAATGGTTAACATTAAAGTACTTAAATTTAGCATTGAGTTTTCCAGAAGTCAAAGACAAATGGAAACAAAACCATTTATATAGTTATCATCAAATGAAATGAAGTATTTTTCTCTTAGAGAACACTTTCTTCTCCCCATTCTACCTCTCTAGGTATACAATTTAAATTCTATTACAGGAAGTAATTTTGAAGAATTTGTTTTATGAAGCAGTTTTGTTTTTGATATACTATTAGCAACAACCTTAATATCACATGTAAAATATCACATGTAAATATTTGTAGAATGAAGCTAAAGCAGTATTTTAAAGGAAATGCATAGTACCAACAACTATATTAGAAAAAGAAAGAAAGGTCTCAATCAATGACCTCAGCTTCCTCATGAAAAAATTGAGAAGAGTATGTTATATGCAAAGTAAGCAAAAGGAATAAATGACAAGAATCAGTGGTATCATAACCAGATATGAATGTAGAAAAAGAAAGAGGAAATAAATTCAACCAAAAGCCAGTTGTTTGAGAAATCAATACAATTGATAAATCTCTAACAAGATTGATCAAGAAATAAAGAAAGAAGACACAAATTATCAATATCTTGACTCAAAGCCTTACCATCACTACAGATATTACATCTATTAAAAAAATGTAAGAGAATATTATGGACTGTTTTATGTCAATAAAGTGGACATTTTAGAGAAATAGTCGTTGAATGCTACATACCATCAAATCTCACCCAGGAGGTAACAGCTAACCTAAATTTATCTATTAAAAAAATTAATTTGTAGCTAAAAATCTTTTCATAGAGAAAATTTCATGCCCACAAGAATTTACTGATAAATTCTATTAAATATTTAAGAGGGAGGCGGGGAAATCCAAGTCTAAAGAATTTCTTCTGGAAGATTGAATAAGAGGAAATATTTTCCCATTGAGAAAACATGTATCATCTTAGAGAATACCTCTTATAAACAGACTGATGATAGGAATATGGACATTAAAAGCACTGACAATGAGGGATCAGAAAGAAATTAGAAACAATGTAATTGGAAAGTGGGGTGAAGGAGATCCTTGTTATTAGTGGAAGAAAGCTTATCTTAGTCTTACAATTATGTAGAAAGTAAATCTTGTAAATGGTAAACTTGGATATATAGCTGAGGAGATTTCCCAGTAAAGTGTAAAAGGTTCAGCCTAAGGTTTTATTTTTCTGCTTATTGTAAAATGCAGGAGGTAAGAAAAAAAATTAAGGGAAAATTGTTCATCTAAAAGGAAACAAGACTTCATAATTTGTGAAATTCTCAGCTTTGTAAAATTTTAAAAGACACTAAAATTAAGATTCTCTGTCAGGAAGTTGTGCTCTAGAGAAAAAGCCAGTGTGGTAGATTGGCTTTTGCTAATATCTCAGAAAAATCAAAAGATCAGAGTATTCAGTCACATAAAGGCTCTATGAAGAAATTAAGTGTATGACTCATAGATCATCTCAGCTATCTCAGCAATAGCTGAAAAGAGAGATAAAATTATTCAAGAAAAATCTGTGGCAAAGCTTCTTGTTTAATGGAGAGAGTCCATGTGAGATGTGGGAGACCCACAAGATTTTTGAGAAATTTATATCAGCAGAAATACTGTAGGCTTGGATCAAAAGGGACAGAGAGAGTATAAAATGAAAGAAGGATTTAGACTCATCAAATTCCACAGGCAGGAAACAAACTGATAAAACTACTCAGTTGCAAACATATGATATCCTTCATGAAAAAGAAAGATTAATTCTGAGAATGGAGCCTTGAGCCTAGAGGGCAGAAACATGAACCAAAGAGAATTTTTGCCAGGTCTTGAAATCTAGTGTTGTTTGTGCAACTGGATTTCAAAATTTCTTAGAATTTGTGACTCTTTTTGTCCTAGAATGGATTATACCCAGGATATCACCAACACTTAATTTAGATGATTGAGATGATAATATTGAGACTTTCGAGTTGGTGAGATTTACATGAAATTTTTTTGGACTTAATGCCAGGCTTTTAGAGACGTTGGCATGATGTGAATGCATTTTACATGTGGGATGGATGTGAATCTTTGGAAACAGAGGACAGTCCGAGGTAGGCAGAATAATATCCCCTACAAAGATATCTATGCCATAATCTCAGAAACTTGTGTATATGTTACTTTACATAGCAAAAGGACTTTGCAGATGTGATTAAGTCAAGGACCTTGAGATGGGTTATCCAAGTGGGCCCAATGTAATCACGATTGATGTTTAAAAGAGAGAGGCAGGAATGTAAGAGAGAGATTTGAAGACAATGTGCTGCTGGCACTGAAGGGAGAGAATAAGAGGCTACAAATTAAGGAATATAAGAGGTCTTTACAAGCTGGAAGAGGCAAGGAAACAGATAATCATCTCTATTCCCAGAAAAAATGTAATCCTTCTGACACTTTGATATTAGCCCAGTGAGACTTCTGATCTACAGAACTATAAAATAATAAATCTGCATGGTTTTAAGGCAGCAAGGGTGTAGTAGTCTATTACAGAAGCAATAGGAAACTAATACAAAACTATGTGGAGTAACATTTTTCTTTGGTGATTTTCTGCATTTTTCAATTATTTTCTGCATTTTTGAAACAATTATAAAGTGAATATATTTTACATTGAGAATAAACTTTAAAATATAGAAATACTATAAAAAATACTAAATAGATTAAAATAAACCTAGCATGGCATCCTTTTGTACCAGCTTTCTGATTTCTGGTTGATGGAAGAAGTTTGTTGACCACTTTCTTTAATGTAAAAATAATTTATTCTCACTAAAATGTTCAGGATTTGACAATGAAGAAAAAACAGAAAATAATGAAGGTACTAACTGTTTCCCGATTCAATGGACAACACATGGATTCCTGACTGGGAGATGCTTCCTTTTGCTTTGATCTGAAGACAGAGGAAAATGCATTCATTATTGTTTTAAAATATACATATTAAATTTACTTAAACATATATATAATATATAAGTAAGCAATAATCTCACTACTCCAGCCCAAAAGGTGTTTTGGATTACTAAATTTCTCTTCTAATATTTTTCTATATGTATAGTTACATACTTTAAATAACAAACGTATACTTTTACAAGGTTTTTGTATTTTATTTAACATTTACTTTCTATCATGAATATTAATATTCAAATTTACATGTCTTAAAAAAATATTTTAACATCTATCACATGCAAAGCAACCTGTAATGAAGGCAGATACAAAATATATGTAAGTATTCTCTATCATCTATATTTAAAAAAACTATATATGACCCTCTCTATGTGCCAAGCACTGAACTAAATAATTTAGTTCTAGAATTTTATTTAATTTTCACAGTAAACTCATGAAATAGCTATTATTGACACCTCTAGTAGTCAGGTGAGATGACTGACATTTCTCTTTACAGATGAGATTAGATAAGTTACCGAAGGTCACATAGGTCAGAAGCAATAAAGCTAAAATTTTAAGTTACTGTCAAATTTTTTACTTTTTCATAGAATTTTAAAGAATATTACTTATAGTTAATTTTTCTATACAGAATTTCCTACATGTATTTTTTTTTTCTTCTAAAAATGACATACTTGAGTAACTACTGGCTTTGAATATTTTTAATTTGGGGACATAAATAGGTATATCAGCCTCAAAAATATTATACCAATTTATAATATGCCTGAGACTATACATTTTCCCTGTAATTACACCAGTCATAAACTTCTTAAATTATTTTGAATCTTTATAAGTATAAAATGTTATTGCTTTATTATTTTAATTTTCACTTCTCTAATTAATGTCAAAATTGAGTAGTTTTCCAGAAAATTGTTTGACATTTTTATTTCCTGTTGAATAAGTTCTTGATTCTTATCTTTTGCTTACTTATCTACTGAAAACAACTTCTCTTCAAGCATAAAAACAAAAATACATATATTTATATTGATATAAAAGGCATTACTTAGATAGGAACCTAATCTTTTGGGGGTTTATACAATTAGGAAGGGCTACAGTGGTTTTATTCTCACCAAATAATAGAAGGTTAACTCTTTTTCATCCTTCAGAATCTGTCCATTCAGGATGTAGTATGCCGAGATCTCTTGGGTTTTTCCACAGGCTATGGTATCAGGAAAAAGTTCAAGGTGAACATAACTCTTGCTTGGGGAGAAAACGTGTCTTGCAGTGTGCTGTGCTTGTGTATGAAATTCTTGAAGCCACAAATTATCAAAACAGTGGGTATTCTGTTTGTAAGTGACCTAATGGAAAACATAAAGGTCTTATGTAGGCTATTTTTTAAAAATTAATATATCATGTATATGTTAGTCACTCTCTGTAACTCACTGAAGATTTTATGTGAATCATATTTACTTGGTTCCATTATAGGCTGCTTTCCCAAATAAAGCATACCCTGTGAATAACTTTCCCTTAAGTTTATTTTAGGTTATGCCATACAGATTTAGAAGATATTATTTACTCACAATCACTTTTACTTAATACCCTTATGAGTGTAAGTTGTACAAGATCATCTGAATATTCAACACAAAAAGAATGATATACCAAAAAAACTAAGAAAAACCTAATTTGTAATAAAATTATAACAATATTGAATTTTTCAAGGGAATATCAAGATCATCTAATAACTATCTCCTGAAACTAGATCATGTTATAAACAGAGTTGACATAAGGGAAAAGATTTTTGACAGAGAATTTTTTGTTTTTTTATAATTTGTCTCCACATCGTGAAATTTCTATTTTACTCTTTTGTCATCTTATTTTATCCCTAGAGTTCAAATGCTTCTCATATATCCTTAAATTACATGGCTCCGGTGATTTCTGTCTTTTTAGTTCCAGATGCCCCTTTGCACTTACCGTAACTGTAATAAAAGAAGATATAAGGTTGGTGGTATCAATGGAAATGTTTGCCAAACCGTGCTCGTTAGTAGTTAAGTTGGAATGATATGCACTTGGATTCACATTGACATATAGAGTTTTATTGGGAATTGGCTGATCCTTCTCATCAACTAGAATAACCTAGAAATATGAAAGTGATAGCTGGTTTCAAGTGTTATATAGCCGTAACATCTTCCATTATTTGTCATGGTCACCACTGACCTCTTGGTCACTGTCATTTACTAAAGATTTTAGAATCTGAAAATAAGATTTGCTTTCTTAGACTCTAAACTATTTTTCTCTTTGGTATTTCAATTTAGATAACTTATGAGCGTTCAACTGAAAATATCCAAAAGTAGACTCATTATGTTACCTTCCTCAAATTTCTTCATGTCTCTATCTTAGTATATGGTGTTCTATTTATCCAATAGTTTATGCAAGAATACCAAGGGCTTTTTGTGTGTGTGTGTCATTTTCTCTTTCACTGCCTATAGCTAACCCATTGCCAAGAACGGTCTCTTCCCCTGTAAAACATATTTTATTGCTATTTACTTCTCTCCAAATCCATTGCTACCATTCCAGTGAAAAACACAATAGCTTTCCAATAGCTTTCTATTTAATCTTATGCAGTCTACCTTCTTGCTGTTTCATCCTTGCTTCAAACCATTCTTTATACAGTCTGAGCTAAATTGATCATGTTACTCTCTTTAAAACCTTCAGCAACTTCTCAATCCAAAATTCTGAAAAGAGCCTTTGAAGATCTGTTCTAGCTTACCTACAACTATTCAGTTAATCCAGTTATATCTTCTATCTCAACCAGTAACACTGGCTATCTCTTAGTTCTTTGTTCTTTAAAAGCTGTTCCATACCTACAGCCCTGGATATTCTCTCATCTTTCTTAAATTTCTGGCCAAGTCATATTCATCTTTCAGGTCTTCAGTTTTCTCATGCTCTTCTCCCAACCTGAAATGACCTTGCCCAATCAGGTCTACATGTTGACTAATTTCTTACCAATTTGATACGAAATACTAGAATAAATGAAGATGATATAAAATTCATAATATGCCACTAAAATGGGAAAATAGGCTATATACTGTCAATTCAAAGATTAGTTACTACAAGAGAAATTTAAAAATGCCCAGAAATCTCACATCTCTCTCTTTATGAAAGAAAATTGATAGTTTACTAAATTGGATATCAATCTTAAAATTGGCCAAAATTATTGCCAATATTGAGCCTTGAAACTGAAAAAAAAAACTTTTAAAAACTATCAGTAATAAAAAATTCAATCATCTAAATGAAAGAATATCTCTTTATTTTTATAGAAAATTATATTACAAAATCGTTATTTATAAAGAGGCAATCAGAAAGTAGGCAGCCAAACTACTTGGAAAAAATGAGGTATGTTAGAAAGTTAATTAATAAAATGAGGTATGTTAGAAAGTTAATTAATAAAAAATGCTTTATTTTTCTGGATTTGTGGTGACATTTGCCTTTTAAGTTTGTAATTTGATGTAATGTAGTTTCTTACTGTAAATATTCATTTTTATAATAAATTTTGATTTAAAAACTCATTTCCTTAAAAGCCAAATTATGAGTATATTGAAAGAATATTCTACCTGTCCATAGAAAGGGAGTCCGCGTCTATAATGTGAATCCACTTTTGTAAATTTTATTTTGCTTAAGATATTTGTGATTTCACATGATCCATAGCCAGTTAATTCCAACCCTGAAAAAGAAATAAGTTCAGTTGAACTATATTCAACTCACCTCCTTACTCCATCCCACTTTACTCCAACATAACAAAATATCTTCCTTGTCTGCCTCTAACCTCAATTTAGCAATGCTAAATTACCTCACTTTTAGAACAATTGCATTTACTCTTAGGAGGATATGGGAGTGGTTCCGGATTTACATTTCTGGTCCTGATTTTGCCTTGGATTTCTTTTAAAAATTATCTGCTGAATTAATCAGCTTCCATTTTGATATTCCAAATTATAATTAATTATCTTGGACACATTCTCATCAACATAATTCTTTTTCATCCACTCCTTATCTTGATTAATGGCATTTCCATTTTTCAGTTCCCAAATTTGTAATGTTCGGGGTCATCTTTGAGTAATATTCTGATGTATCACATTGTAACACATTTTTCATCTAGCCTGACCTCTTCATGTCTGTTAGAATTATCTTTTAAAAATATCAATTTATTTAGGTCATTCTCAAATAAATCTAAAGATAAACAATGCTTTTCATAATAAAGTCTAACCTCCTTAGTATGTGATTTACTTTACTTTTTATATATCTTAGCTCCAACCTACATTTTCAGATTTTTCTGAGACCAAACACATTTGTTTTATGCTTATCATGCTTTCCCAGTCCATCACTATCTTTCAAAATGTTATTCATTATATACAAATCAGCTAAAATACTACTTTATAAAGCTTTCTTTGGCTTTGTATTAGAATTAATTATTTCTCTTCATACTCATTTAGTTCTTAGGTTTTACATATCTTGTAGTAATTTTATTATGGTTATACATATATACATACATATATATAAACATATACAAATAAATATAATTTTTTTTAGATTTCTAATTACTTGAGAGTAGGCATCATGCCATTTTCATAGTCCTCAGAAATAATAAAGTGTTTTACATGAAATGAAAATTTGATGTTTCATAAATTAATAAATTGATGAATTATTAATATTAAAACAAGTACAAACCTGTTCCCTCCTCTCTGATCTTGGCTTCCACTTTTATTGCCATTTCATACCCTCTTTGTGTCAGGTGAAATAATTTAGTCTTTATGAGTTGTGTGAAACAGCCTTTGTTGTCTGCCTGAAGAGAAAGAAAGAGAATTCCTGGGTCTTCTGACTTTCTATCAAAAAATTCAGTTATCAACCTATGAAAATTTTTTATTAGCTATAGAAGAAAATTTTACAAATGTTTTGCTTACCTTTTACCAAGCCCCCAAATGTCATAAAATGTCTTCATTAATCATCGAGTTAACTCTTGCCAGTCTTTGCCTTCTCCCTTCCTCTCTGAAAGTCTATCCAATTTCTGCCATATTAAAATTCATGTAGTGTCCAAATGTGTGACAATATTTTGTAATTCTAGTTTTTGCATATGTCGTTCTTCAAATGCTAACATTTTCCTGTTCTTATGCCAACAGTTACTGCTCTTCTAAACTCAACTCAGACACATCTTCTAAGAAAACTTTGTAACCACCTTCCCCTAAATATCAACTAATGATTATATTTTCTCAACTGTATTTTCTCAATGTCTCAGACATTAATAAAAACATATATATTCATTGAATAAATGAATTACTTCAGTACAGTCACTTAATGATGGGGATACATTTTGAGAAATGCATCATTAGGTAGTTGTGTGAGCATCACAAAGTAAAGTGCACTTAAACAAACCTGGATAGCATAGCCTACTACACATCTATGCTATATGATATAGCCTATTGCTCCCAGTTTATAGGCCTGTACAACATGTTACTGTACAAAACAACACAAAAGTAAATCAAGTGCAAGAGAAAGTGACAGAGACATGGAAAATATGAGGGGTATGAAGGTGCTGCCTGCGTGACACAGTGTACTGTTTTACAATAACTTTTTTTATAAGTAAAAAGAGTATACGATAAAACGTATAGTATAGAAAATACATAAACAGGCAACAATTATGTACAGTACATAGTTGTATGTGCTATACTTTTATAGGAATGGCAGAGAAGTGGGTTTGTTTACATCAGCATCACCACAAACACGTAATACATTGCACTATGACATTATGAAGGAAGTGGACCAGGTCTGTCATTGACTGAAACATCGTTATGCTACTCATGACTGTAATCGGATTTCCAAACTAAATATTGGGAACTGTGTTTTAATAAAGATTTTTTATTTTTGTACTTACATTAAAATATCTATTGCATCATAAAATTTAACAATATTTGGTTTATTTATACATAGAGGTCATGACTCACTTTAAAAAAAATCAGTCTGATATACTAAAGATTTTGGCAGCTGGATTGCTCTCATGTTTATCCTGCTTATCAATGTTTATCTTGACATTCATTATCATATTTATCACCTTACCCTTTCATTTAGTAGTTTTCTGCAGCTTTGATAACTTTCTTTTCCGTACCTTTACAGTGCCCACTCACACTGCCACACCCTAGACTTTTATGTACTCTTAAGCCTGAAATCAGTAATTTATACATTTTAATTTTTAATACAACATATTCTAGTTTCTGCTGTTTTCCTTAGTTATTGCATTTCTTTGATGTAATTGAGGCCTTCAGGCCACTGTCTCTCTAGGTCTCCCTCTCCTCAACCTGATACTGGTTTCATATTCATCCATATGCAGTTTAGATTCCAGACTGTGCCATTTGATTGTACCACCAGCCAAATTCTTAACATCTGTCACATTCTTCTTCTCTCATTTGTTTGATAAAAGCCAACTTTTGATACTTCCATACCCTTTTATGCTTTTATACCTGGCATGTCGATTGCTGTTGGAAGGAAATTACAAAACTAAACAAATAAATATCACCATAAGTCCATGAGCCCAACCCTCAAGTGAGGTTCTAACATTGTCATGGAATCAGACATTGTTTCTCTTACTCCATAATTTTCCAAGGTGACTATTTCAAATGCTACTGTCGTATTATATTCACAATACAATATTCTATTGCATCCTCCATTGTATTATAATCCAGGAGAAAACTAGATCTAGTGTTAGTGTCTTGGAGAGAGTAGTTTCCATATACCTGTTGACTGAATTCTTCACAGATATTTTGTGAATGTCTTCCATGACAGGCGAAACGATGTTGTGCATATTTTCTGCATACATTAATTGTCACTAGACCAGAGACAGGCTTCCCATATGTGTATCTATAACAATAAAGCAGTCATACAAAAAGGTGCTTAATATAAATAACTTAGGTGTTTTTCTCATGATTTGATACATTCACATATCCATCTTATTCATCTACAGCAATTATTTTTCCTTACATAGTATTTGTACTTCAAAAGCACTGATTCTGAAACTGTGTCTTGATTACCTAAGTAGCATACATCTATAACTCTAACAGAAAATATTTACTGATCTTTTTTGAAACACCTCCAAATGGAAAATTAACAGTGTAGTTTTTCTCACATCTTTCCTCCCTTTCAGAGATTTTATTATAAGCCTGTCTTATTTCCTTCTTCCTCTGTTCTCAGACTATCTAGGTTATAATTCCGGCTTTAACAATACTTCTTAAATTGTATTAGAGAAAAAAATCAGGATATGTAGAGAGTGGATTTGTAAGTCCTCCCTAATTCGTATACATTTTAAGAGGATAAATGAGAAATTAAATGGAAAAGCACTAATATAAAACAAAATTTTATAAATGAATAGTATCATAATGACTTAGTCCCATTCTGCCAAATCTGATGGAAGGATATGATGTGATATAGTTGGAATGTTCGTGTCCCCTAAAGTTCATATGTTGAAATCCTCACCCCCAAAGAGGATAATATTAGGGCGTGAGGCCTTTGAGAAGTGCTTAAATCATGAGGGTGGAGCCTTCATGAATGAGATTACTGTCTTTATAAAAGAGGTTCCAGAAAGAGCTCCTTCCCCTTCTACCATGTGAAGAGGCATGAGAAGGCACTAGCTATGGATCAGAAAGAGGACCTTCACTAGAACTTGACCAAGCTGGAAACTTGATCTTGGATTTCCCAGTCTCTAGAAATGTGAGCAATAAATTTCTGTTGTTTATAAGTTACCCAGTTTGTGATATTTTGGTATAGCAGCCTGAACTAAGACATGATGTGAAGTAGGGCTTAGTTTATTGTTTCTCAAAGCATGCTTTATAGGCCACTTACTTTAAAATTACCTGAGATATGTATCGAGATTCAGAATCCTGAATTTCTCCTCAGATTTATGAGTAGAGTCTCTAGAGTTAGGGCCAATAACCTATATTTTAACTAAGCACTTCCATAGATTTGATGCACACTTAAGTTTGAAACCTATTGCTTTAGCCCAAACTGAAGAAGGTGAGATTTGGCTTCAGTGTCCCCAAAGTTCCCTTTTTTTGTAGATTGTCTCCCAAATTTCTTTAAGTGCTGATAAAGTGATAAATTATTTACTGAATTTCAATCACTTTGTTGAATCTTATCTTTAAATCTGAATCAAAAGGCGTTTCTTCTGATAGAAAATTTTAAAGCATCAAAGCTAGTGAGAGGGATTAAAACATGTATCTCACACTATTTTCAAAAGTAAGAGGTAATGTTTCTCTCCTTGGTGCATGTGGAGGATGTGCTACTGCACTAAAAGGCAATCAGAGAAGACATAACTATGACATGTATTTTGAATTCTACATTATATATCCAGCATTTAATATAGAGGGGCTGCTTAACTTCTAATTTTCCATAGTTCAAGAAATTTGGAGCAATTAAAAAATGGAGATAACACTACACAGAATAACACAGAAGTTATGAGCTTGAGCTCCAGAGTTGAATGGCCCGGGTTCAGTTTAACACAGTGTCTAGGATACAAAAAAAAAAAAAAATGCTTCTTAAAGCTAGATTTTTTAAAATTGCAGAGGCAGTATAGAATATTGTTGAAGAGTTCAGGTTCTAAATCCAGACTGTTGGATTTAAATGTCAGTTTGCAAATACTGCTTTAAAGGGACATATAAATTCATATGTTCACTTTAGAATTATTTTACAATAACCAAGATATGGAGGCAATTCATGTGCCCATCAATGGATGAATGGGTAAAGAAGAGGTGGTACATATATACAAAGGAATGTTACTCAGTCATAAAAAAGAATGGTATCTTTCCATCTACAACAACATGGATGAACTTAAAGGATATTGTGCTGAGTGGGGTAAGTCAGACAGACATAGACAAATGCCATATGATTTCACTTACCTGTGGAATCTAAAGAACAAAATAAACAAACAAAACAGAAACAAGCTTATAGATACAGAGAACATTTTGATGTTGAGGAGGGATTTAGAAGTACAAATTAGTAGTTACAAAATAGTCATGGGGATGTATAACATAAGTAATACAGTCAATGATATTGTAATAACTATGTATGGTGTCAGATGGACACTAGATTTATTCGGGTGATCACTTCATAAGTTACATAAGTGTCTAGTTACCATGTTGTACATCTGAAATTTTCAGTAAATAATTTTATTATTAGTAGTAAAAGTGTCATATGCTACCATCTCTGCTTCCTAGTCAGGGCTCAGGCAAGTTAGAGTCATTCCTTCTCTAATTAAAATACTTCAAAGTTCAGTAGCAATTATTTGCAATACAAATAGAGTAGAAAAATAGAAATTAGATAAAAAATGTAACTCACAGGCCACATACGGATACTACAAATGCTTCATCAAGAAAACCAATAATCTTGGGCATTTTCACTTGGACCTCAAATTTGGGCAAAACTGTTGTCAATAGGAGAGAGAAAAAGGTGAGAGTGGGTATGAGATCTTGTAAGCATTAGTGATGATTCTATTACAGAACCTTATAATAAGATCACATGAAATGATTTCAATTGCAATACAGAGCAGCAGGGATGCTACTGAGAAAGAAGATGCCATTCGTAACCATGGGCAGTTTGTACCATATTAACTTGGTTAAGCTGGTACTGCATTTCCTGGAATCTCCTTGTCTGAACTTGTTCAAGATTTCACAGGTGGAAAGAAAGCAGCGCCATAAGTCTCTGAAGATTATCATGGTTAGATGTGGTAACAGATACAGAGGCCAGTAGGTTACAATTTGTTCTAATCCTTTCCCTCTGTGTCCAGTTCTTCTTCCTACAGCTAGCCCTACTGACAATCAGAGGCCCTAGGACCACCACCAGACACTTGGTTATAGAAATATTAAAATGGTAGATATGAAGAGGTAATAGCCTTCCATAGGTCTTTCTATCAGTTTCTCTTTGTGTTCCACTCTGGCAGCTGAAGGTGCCCTTGTAAGTTCTGCTTTATTTATCCTCACCATTGCTTCAAGAGAACTGGTTAGTAATTTCCTCTGATCCACCACCTCCTCCTGCTGGACCCTTACTTTTTCAGCCCCTCCCACAGTTGTATAATGTTAGCTATTTAGATAATAAATATTTCTTCTATAATTCTTATGGAAGTTCTGGCGAGTTTTAGAAATTATGTTTTTGTTATAGGTTTCCTCATCCATGGCATAATATATTTAATTTACATTAGAAAATCTACATAGCTGATAGCTAATAAGATGATTCGATGTCTAATTTCTATGACTAGAGTAGGGTAGGTGTAGGTTATAGACGGCCAGGAGATAATCTCAGGAAATATCTTAATTATAAGATATTTAAGATATTTATACATACATATAGGTAACACAATGTATTGATTACAATTTAAGTTTAAATATGGTTATATAAACCTATTAAAATCTCTCTTCCTTCTTATTGGCTCTATGATTTTGGTAGATTACTAACTTTTCTAGTATTGATATACTCATTTATAAAATGGAGATAATATAATATCTGCCCTGGACTATTGTGAGGATTGAGATAGTGCATGAAAAGTACTTAGCAAATATTTAGGTAAATAAAGAAGCTTGCTAATTTTCAACTATTATATGCTAGATCTTTTCCTGTCACCTATGTCTACAAGTTATTCAGTCTTAAATACTCTGTTATAAATGTCTTGGACATATGCAGAATTCTTACCATATTCATTCACCTCAAAGGAATGTTCTATTTTTTCCCCCGACTCTTTCTCCAACTTGACCTTGTAGAGACCCAGACTGGGCTCCACTGAGAGTGGGAAAGAGAGCTGGCTGAGTCCCTCTTGCAATCTGAACTGTTGCCATTGGAAAATTCGATTCCTCTTGGGATTCTACAGGTAAAAACATTGTAAGTTCATATAAACAATTGATATATAGATACTTTTTGAGTAGAGATACAGCTTTTCAGGAAGGGTGACATTGAGAGTTGGATAACTGATGTTTGGTAAATTGGCATGAAAGGTTTTAGCAAAGTTTTCTAAGAATTCTAGTTTGAGAAAAGGGCAAGAAATTTACCAGCGACGGGATACTGCAGATTAGAGTACCTCTTTTTGAGACTATATGTACTTATTGTGGTAAGAAATATTGGAAGAGTCACTAAATTGCATCATCTCAGGGAATTTTTTTTTCTTCATTTAAATCTTATCCACTCTCCAAAGGTTTTAAGAATGACAGGGAAAACAGTGTTTAATATAGTTTTGGTGAAGAGCTAGTGGGGTGAAGGAGGCGAAGAGGCAATTTGACATAACGAAGTAAGTCTTCATCGTAATTGAGATATGTAATATTTTACCTACCTCAATATAAATCACTGAGAACTGAAAAGAAAGAAATAATATAAGTAAGAGATCGAGTTTAGAATGAGAAAATCGTGACATCAGCATTGATAGAGGATCTGGATCAGAGAAAGTGAGTCTGTATATTTTTTGTCCAAACAGGAATTGCGCCCCAGTTTGGTTCATAGCACTTTATATATTTTATTTGGGACATATATCTCTTAAGAACTCAGGACTTTCCCTTTCTCAAATAATGTACAGTTGAGGAAACCTATAGTTAGGCAAAAAATGTCCGAGTAAATTTATTTTGCAGATGGTATTTAGTTCTAAGAAATTCTCCATATTTTAAGAGAGAAATCAAATACACTTATTTTTCTTTTGTTCAATAAAAATAACTGGTATCTTTAAGAAGATAATTTGAACTGAATATTTATTTTAACAATGTAATTGATTAACTGATTTCTCTTAACTTCTAGCAGTGGTACTCTTATGAAATCTTTCTGTAATAGACTTAGATACCTCATATTGGTTTCAGGTTTTCCAAAAGAATGGGCTTTCACTTGTAGCCTGTTTCTCCCAACCTCGCCCATTGTTATGAGACTCACCGTTTCATTCAAGGGGTGAAAATTGACATCCACGGAGACAATGCGGAATCTCACTGAAACAGAGATTTTTCCCATGAAACTCTCCAATGGTAATCCAGGATAGTAGTACAGTAACAACAGGCTAAGACTTCCATGACTGCAGAATAAAGTAATAGAGAATATCCCTGGCCCCCACCCCTAAAGTTGAACTTGCTCATTTGGTTCCTTATACCTGTTTGCCCTGGTTTGTAGATGGGTTTGTCTGTTAGGACAAAGACTAGGCTCTCTACTTTTTCTATGTGTATTGGCTTCCTCTTTATGAACTCTTGGGTTGGCCCTTTCACCTGCACAATAATGAACGCTGAGGAAGATGGCAACTCTGGAATCTGAAAAACAGAAAGAAGCTGAAGAATCTGCCCAGATCCACTTCTGAATGTCTCAGCCATTATGATTTTCTCATTTCTCTGGTTAGTCCAATAAGAATTAGTAGGGAATAAGGTCAAGGATTATTTCCATTGCTTTATAGATTATTATGATTGTGTAACATGACAGTAACAAGTCATTGGTTTAATTGGGGGAAAATGTCATTGCAATAAAATGAACCAATTCTTCAACCTGTAATGATAGTGAAGGAAATAACATGCCTACATTTTCACAACAATTATATGTTATCATTAGTTGTAACCCAGTAAGATTAACTAAATATTTAATACTTTAAGTAATAAAGCTTACTAGGCAATACATTAACCATTAGTTGTGAGATCTTAGATAAGTCACTTAACTATGAACCTCAGTGTTTTTATCTGTGATGGCATGAACGTTATTTATCTTAGAAGTATACAAGTAGGTGAAATCTTTATTATAACTACTGCTATCTTCTGTGTATTGCACTAGATCTGTTTGTAAACATTATGTAAGCACGCTCAGTAGAAATTTCATTTTTAAAATCTAATTTGAAATTCACTCTGCATTTCTCATTTTTTTCTTCATTACGCTTTTTTGTTTTTAATTGTTTGGGGTCAGAATATAAGGCATCAACTAATATACCCTTTCTCTAATGATCTCCATTATCCCAAGGAGAGATACTGACAATGAAGGGGCTACAGTAGAAGGAGTCCTTCTCTGTCACCAGGTCTGTGAGGAGGGACTTGTTGTGCGTTCCATACTCCAGAATTACATTAAGTGTCACTGTCTCATTCAGGTGATTAAGCAAGATACAGGCCTTTTCAGGAACTCCAACGTACAGACTTGATGGGACCAGCACCAGATACTGCCTGTGGAGAAGAGGAGTCTGTATTAACCATGGAGAGGTTAAAAAGACATCATTATTGTGGCTGTTTCCTAGATAATCTTTGCTATTGTCACCAATCAGAACAAAGCCAGATTTCAGCAAGAGTATAGAGGAGTGTATTCTTCAAAGACCAATCCAAAAGGCCATAGAAACTCAGAAAATCTCAGTAAGCTAAACATTAATATGCTTCTCTTGTGGAAATTTTCACCCTCATATTATTATGTAAACCTGTTCATAAACTACATATAAATAATCCATGAGTTATTATGTATTTTGATAGGAATAATTTTCAAATTTAGAAATTGCTCAAGAAAATGTGATTATATATAATGGAATATTATTCAGTCTTAAAAAAGAAGAAAATCCTGTCATTTGTGACAACATGGTTGGATTTTGAAGACATTATGTTAAGAGAAATAAGCCAGACAGAGAAAGATAATACTGCATAGTATCACTACATGGAATCTAAAAAGAAGATTAGATTAATAGAAACATAGATTAGAAAAGTGGTTGCCAGGGGTGGGGTGTGGAGGAAATAGGAAGAGGTTAGGAAAAGGGTATAAACTTTCAGTTATAAGATGAATGAGGTCTGAGGATATAATATACAACATGGTGCCTATAATTGATATAACCAAAATTTCCTAAGAGAATAGAACTTAAGGGTCTCACACATACACAAAAAGAGTATATATGTGAGACATCGATGTGTTAATTAACTCAGTGAGGGAGATCCTTTCACAATATATACGTATATCAAATCATCACATTGGACAATTTATAATACATAGGGAAGAGATGAATTGCTTTTTACTACTATTTCAGAAGCAACTCTAGCTTTTTTCTATCTTTCACTTTCTGGTGATGGAAGAAAAGCCAGACCAAGCTAATCTAATCACCAAACATAATACTGTATACACCCAGAAGAAAATATTAGTCTTCTGAGGCTCTTTGCTCATTATTTATTATCACACAAATATGCTGCACTTTCTGAAGCTCTGCTTGCCCATGTCTCTCTCTTTCTGAAGTGCCCTTGTCTATCTGAAAAACTTCTATTTGATTCATAAGACATATCTCGAAAGCAACTTTCTCTATACAGACTTAGATGATGCCCCTTCACTTTCATCAGTTCCCCTGAGGAGTTAGGTTTCCTTTGTGGATGTTCTCACAGAATTCTGCAATGCTGGCTTCTGTTTTTAGCCCTGTATTCCATTATCTGTGCACCAACTCCTCTTTTCTATACTGTGAGGTATTGAGGAAAGGGTTTACATTTTGTTAATCTTTATATTCCCAAGATCTAATACCAGCCCTTAAGGATTTGCTAAAGGATTGAGTGAACCGACACACAAATCCTGGCTTGTCTATAGGTCATACATCCATTCTGGCAAGCCCTGAATTGGGGAAAATGTAGACATTGAGTCACTTCACAATGACTAAGACACTGCACTCCTTTTCATGAGCCAATAAAAAAATTTGGGGTGTGTGTGTGGGGGGGGTAGGAATTTTATATTCTTTATATTTTATGAATGGTATAGACTTTTATATTCTTATTTGGTGAATGTTTCATGGATGTTACTACTTTATGTCTCTGAGTTTTCTAGAATTGGAGTATACCTCTTTCCACATGAGAAATAACAATTTACTGATCCTTCCAAGCCCTTTGACAACTGACCATTTCACAAGGAATCAGAAAATAAGTAGACAGACATCAAGAAGCAGATAACACAATGGGAAAGAGGAGGGCAACAGACTTTCCTGGAAATGTTGCTTACGGTTTTGAAGTAGCTGAAGCATCTCTGGGAATAAGCAGGAAAAGTAGAATCAAGACTGGATTGGGCAGTCGATTTCCCCTCATAGTGTGGAAAGGAAAAAGAAGTAACGGGAGTCTGAGCCCTTGATTCCTTGGACTCTGCTCTTGTTCCAACATCACTGGTTTTTATGTTACCTGATGGGCAGTGAAAGTAAACTGCTAACCATTCATTTTTGTAAACATTAACTACTTCCAGGATAAAAAAATCCAGTATAAAAAAAAAAATTCCAGATCATTTTCACAACTATCAGTATTCTTTCATCTATTCTCTCAAACTGTCTAAGAACTTGAAAAATAGTGCTTTGAGGCTACCCTGGTTCGAATTAATAAGTACTTTAAATATTTTTAAGGAAAAATAAATAAATTATATAATTTGATAATATTAATCAATAGTCTTGATTTCTCTCTCTCTCTCTTTTTTAAAGAACTATTAATGTAAATACATATTCCAAATCTCCTCTGGTGGTTCAGGGGTCATCACATATTTCCCAAAGCTTCATCCTATACGGTTCTTTAAGAAAAAAAAAATATCACAGGATTTTAAAAAAAATCAGTTTGAAGATATCGCCATTGTTTAAAAGTTTAACTTCTGCTTTTTATGGCTATTCTTATATTTGTTTGTTTACAAAGAAAATGATAGTTCATTTAGATATAACAATCCACATAACATATATTTATTGTTCCTAGTTTATTTAACATTTAGAATATAAAGCCGATTAATTTATTTTATTCTCTAAGGAAATGACCTTTATTTGATGAACACTCTTATTTAATTTTAGCTTGAGCAATATAAAACTATTTTATCAATAGTGATTCATCATTTTATTTGTTTTCCAAGGGAGATTGGGATATTGAAATCTATTTTAATTATGAAATTATGAAATTATTTTAATTATGGAATTATGAAAATGATAAAGATCTATACTGTTACATTAGTATAACTAGGTCCCCACAAAATTGAAGTGTGTGTTTTGAATAGAGAACTGATTTAAATTATAAAATATGATACGATGAGAAACAGACACTTCTGTGGATAAAGCATATTTTGTTCTTGCCGTACATTTTTGTATGTAATTTGGAAGAATGAGAAGTGAAGATCATGTACATGACCATTGTTAGTGAACTGTAAAACTATAGATGTGTAAGATATTAAAATTTCAATGATGATATTCAACTATGGGTTGATATACAGTCAAGAGTCACATAATTACATTTTGGTCAATGACAGGCCAAATATACGATGGTGGTTTCATAAGATTATAATGAATTATAAGCAAAAAAACTTGTTTGCTTTGTTGGAAGAAAAGGCTGGACTCAACTACAATACTGAGTTTACTGCTAGCTCTGGGTGGTTTAAACAGACAAAGAGCTAATCAAGTGGTGCTCTGTCGTGGTCTGACGCCAGCCTCTGGGTGTTTTGGCGCTGCCTTTGGGAGAGGCCCCTGTGCGGGCAAGGTCAGCTGCTGCCTGTGACCACCCAAGGCTACTTGGTAGGAGCTACAGAGCAATTCATGGTTGGTTGCTGCCTGTGCTAGACCTAGATAGAAAACAGTTTGGAGGTTCTTCTAAAAATTAAGAGTGGAACAACCTTATGACCCAGCAATTGCACTTCTGGATATTCAGCCAAAGAAAACCAAAACACTAATTTGAAAAGATCTATGCACCCCTATGTTCACTGCAGCACTAGTTACAATAGTCAAGATATGGAAGCAATCTAAGTGCCCATCAATAGATGATTGGATAAAGAAGCCATGATACATATATGCGATGGAATATTACTCAGCAATAAAAATTTTTTACCATTTACAACAACATGGATGGACCTAGAGGATATTACGCTAAGTGAAATAAGCCAGACAGAGAAAGACAAACACTATATGATTCTACTTATGTGTGGAATATAAAGAACAAAAATAAATGAACAAACAAAACGAAAACAGACTCATAGGTAAGAGAACAAACTGGTAATTGCTAGGCAGAATGGGGGTTGGGGGCTGGATGAAAAGGTGAAGAGATTAAAAAGTACAAATTGATAGTTACAAAACAGTCATGGAGCTGTGAACTACAGCATAGGGAATATAGTCAATAATATTGTAATGGCTGTGTAGAGTGCCAGGTGGCTACTAGAGTCATCAGGGGGATCACTTCGTAAATTATATAAATGTCTAACAAATCTGTTGTACACCTGAAACTAAGATAAAAAAAAAATGAGGAGGTTCAGTATGCTGTCCACCAGCCCTGCACCTGCCAGCAGCTGGGGCTGAGTTAGCAAGGAAGGAGGAGAGCGAGCTGGGGAGAAGAGGAGCCCGAGAGCCTGCCCACACTCTCCCTGCTCACATACACACTTTACCTTTTATACCACATTGTTACTGTACTTTTCCTATGCTTAGATATACAAATATCATTGTGTTACAATTGCCAACGGTATTCAGTATAGTAGTATACTGTACAGGTTTATAGCCTAGGTGTGTAGAAGTCTATACCAGCAAGTCTTGTATAAATTCACTCTAAACTGTCTTGGGCTGACAAAGCCATGCACACACTGACAAAATTACCTCAGAACGTATCCTTGTCATTAAGTAATGTATGACTGTAATGCCACAAATGGAATAAACTGTAAAAATAAACTGTGCTAGCACTTGGCAAATGCTTGCTGAATAAATATAAAATTCTTCTGACATTCTGGCTCCTTCTCTCACTAGAATCTCTATGTTCTCTTCGCTTCTGCTGATCTCGGTTCCCCTCCACCTCTCCTCCACTGCCATAAATAAATACCCCATTCTCCGCCAGCTTAATATAGGGTAAATTAACTTATAATAAATGACTTATAAGAGGTCTCTATATTACTTTCCTAGGCATAATTATGCTTTTTGGATATGCATCAAACCTGTGTTTTGGCCAAATGCCTAATGACTAAGCAATATTTATAGTTCGAACTTCTGGAATAAGAAAATAAATCTGAAGTGTTATCAAAACCTTATCATTGTTATTTTTAATTATAAATTTTAGTAGATACATTTAAAATATTTATTATATGACATCCACAATATTTTCTCAGCATTCACAGTTAAGACTTATACTCTGCGGCCCTCAAACTTTTTTCTTGTATTTCTTAAGACAATTTTATTAAACCTATAACTCCTCACATACACTTAACATGACATTTAAAATTTTTTATCTTGAGAAAGATAACAAAAAATATAAATACTGAGATGTAAAAAATAAAACTGTAATATTAGTTTTTAAATATATCTGATGAAATGCATATACTGTAGTCATTGTTGCAGAATCACCTCCCCAAATTCAGGTTCGTGTGCCCGACGCCCTGGGAAGCTAAAACACTGAGACACAGGTGTTTGGAGACAGAGGTTTATTTGATTTGGCTAAAGCGAGCAGACGGGAGAGCAAGATCTCTCAAATTCGTCTCTCCTAAAAAGCAAAAGGAAGGAATTTTCATGCATCTAGGGAGTAAGGATTGGGGGTGGTTCCCAGGAACCGAGAGAGAAATCTGTGTTTCTTTAGTCACAGATGACAGTAGCTGGTCACAGCTACCTTGGGGACATATTTTTTCTTATGCAAGACAAATATATAAATTCTTCACGTGATCCTGAAGTTATCTCTTTCTGCTTGACAAAGAGATGTATCAGCAATGTATGACTACATTTGTGAGAACAATAGTTGAGCAAAAAGAGTGGTTAACGTGAACAAAGGCCTAATTAAGAATTAAATTTTTAAATTTTAGCTGCCTACAATATTAGTGCCATTAAAATCACAAGGGGTTTGGTTACAATACGAACTCTTTTTTTATCAATTGGAAACTTTATATCATTCTTGTTTCTTCTTGGTCTTGTATTTCAATTTTAATTCCCCAGATAATTTTATCCTGTTGTTTTGTGCTTCAATATATTTTAATGATCACTCTATCATACATTTCTGTAACTAAAAGTAATCAAAATTCTAAAAAAGTTTTTTTACTTATATAGTTCTGAGAAGTAATACAATTTTTTCTGGATTGAATTATCATTACAAGTATTATCAATATATTATTTATCAAAACCATACTTATCTACTACAATCTTAATAAATATTAAACGAGAAATAAATTTTTTTTGAAAATCATTTCTTACTGAACTATTGTGTATTCTATCCTTCTGGCTCCTCCAATCAGATTTTGTATCTTTGGATGAATATTACTTATTGCTAGATTGAAACAAGTTTTGGCTATCTACTCACTTTCTGGTTTTTCTATTTTACTCTATTTCTTTTTAGAATATTCCTATTCTATTTTTTATTGTGTAGATGTAAACACCAAGAAATCTTGTTTACATAAAGTGAGAGATGGAAATGAGAGAAACTCTGTTATAAAAATATCGTTTAATTATTTAGGCATCTAAGTTACAAGTCAAAGGTCATCTTATAATTTTGTTGAAAGAGAAGCACTTGAAACTAGGTCAATTGCAGAAGGATTTGGAACTCAGTCATTAGAATCATTCTTCCTCTGTTTCTAGAAAGTATGCAAAAAAGGCTTACCAGAACTTAGAAATGGCTACGATTGTTATTATTTTTTTTTACTTGAACACATCTAATATACTTAAGCAATTTGGTAAAACTGAGATATTATTAATTTTTAATTAATTTAATTTAATTTAATTTAATGTCACTATAAAATGTCATGAAATACATTTATCTTACTTTTTAAACTACTACTTACACATGTAGCTGAATAAATTTCTAGAAAATGTCCACCAATAACTTAATTTGCAAAGCCTGTTCTAGTTGTCAAAATAATCAGTCCAATTACACTTATTTTTGATAGAAAAAATAGTACTTCATTTTCAATTTTAATAAACTCACAAATACATATTTCTATAACAATTATCCCACTTCTAAATTCTAAGACAAGATAAAGAGTCTAGCTGAATATTTATTATCTAGATAAAGTAAGGCATTTCCACTTCAATATTTCTTTCCATGTTCTCTGTTTTATTCTTTTTTTAAAAAAACATAATTGCTAAGTTTAATTCAACTGTTATACCCAATTCTGC